TAGTAGTCGATTGTTATAGCAGATATACGTTTGCCTCATCGACAATTCCACCAAAAGAATATGATATGGCCTTCCTTGAAAATTCACCTTTGCCCTGTGACCCAAAATGGCGCTCGCGGCAGTGTAACCGAGTGGTTAGAGTGTCAAGCAACATCCTGCACTGTCACAGTTCGACTCCCGCTGAGAGTGTTGATAAGATCAATGCGAGGTCGAAACTGCAGTCCACTGGTGTCTGGATGAGAACAACTTTTAAGAAGGCAAGGCTATGTAAAAATGCAATGGAAACGTCAGCTCAACTCATATGATTGTGGGAAAATTCTTCTTCTACCAGTCCTTCATCACCTCAAACGAAATTGGGTGAATACATGTCATTTTACTTATATAGACTCAATTGAGCCAAAAGAAAATTAAAAACATAGAGATTTCGATATAGAGTGGTTTGGCTAATTATCTTTCATACTGGTCCTGCTACTTTTACTCGAATGTGTTCATGTGTGTACGAATCTCTTACTCATGCACTTTCATACGAAATGAAAGTCCCGCCAACAAAGTTATCTTAGGAGATTCATCGAAACTCAGTTCATCTTCGTATCTGGAATACAACTAGCATAATTAAATCTACCATGCGCTAAAGCCTTACAGATCTCTGTAAGACTCATTACCAAATCCTCTGTAGATGATATTTTCACACAATTTTACTAAGGCTAAATTATCTGTTGAAGGTCACAAATCCTCCAATCAGACGAAGTACTTGACAGTTGAGCTGCGTAAGCTTGGATGCATTTCCCTTATACGGTTCGAGCATTGCTGTGGTGACGATAGTGGAGAATTAACAAAAAAGATATGAGAAGACCTCGCGGTGCCATTGAAGTAAACCTAGGAAAGCTCGTGGAAAATATTCTGTGACAAACTTCACAATCATTCCTTAAATCTCCTTAAGCGATCAAGGATGACTAAGTTCTTATTTCAGAAGTACTGATAGTTTCGAAACGCACTTTTATCGAGAAAAAGTAACGTTGCTGACTAGAACAGCAAATAAACTTCTATCTTTTCGACAGTCCACCGTGAATGTGACCTTATGAGGCTCGGCTTGCCATGAAGTCACATCTACCCAATGACTCACTAACATTTGTGGCTGTGCCAGGGAGGGGTAACTTGTTTTCACGAAGGGCATGAACAGGTTTCTAACCCATGCGGGTGTGCTGATGAGATTCAAAAGGGTGAAATTGAGAGGAATCGGAAAGTTTACTCATATCAAGACGTGAAACATTCCTGTATCCGTACTAAAATCGCCTTAACCCATAAAGGATAGTTAAGTTTTTAACAGTTTCTAGTGAAAAACATGAATTTGTTCTATTTGTGACGTAGTTCACTTTTATAATGACTTGGATGAAGATATATTCCCCTCTAATATGCTTCATAAGATTTTCTTCATCTCCTCTACACCAACAACGACGAACTACTTTGTTGTGTAGAAGAACTGGGTTTCGAAGTGAACTACTTTGCCAGTGGGGACTTAAAGGCAGGAAAATCTTATTTTGAAGAGCAAGATAGAAATTTTAGCTCGAGACTAGTACTTAATCATAACATTCATTTAATGTCGAATTATGCAGTCTTGTTTAGAGATAAAGATAGATCATTTTTTCGCCTTATCTACAGAGACCTAATCAGGCGATTAGTGGAAGATGCCTGTCTAACTTCGGAAGTGAGACTTATATGAATTCCTTTTCCACGTAGTAAGCTGAGTTGAGCGTAAATCTCTAGACCCAAATTTTGGGCCTGAGCCCCTCTTGGGCTAATACGAGACGAAGTGGAAGGAAAAAGCTCAGTCCTTCTGAACAAACAATTTTTTTTGGTGGATTCGATGATTCATTTCAAAGCATAAGATAGGAAGAAATTATATTAAATTATCACATAGGGTGAGCGACAGCGTATATTCATCTTCCTGCTAGCTTAAAGTTGCTACGCCAAAAAATGCTTCGGTTCAGCAATTACGCTAATACGCCAAAAGTAATCACATGGATAAAAATATCATAGTTATTAATCAGTGAGCCAAGAGATATACATTTTCACATGTCACAAGGTGCAAAAGCTCATAGTGACCTCTAGAATTAATGAGGCCTATTTGCTTTTACGCATCGTTATACTCCAATATTAAAGCAGTGAAGAAGACACAATTACAAAATTAAAATGTATGACATTTCTGCTTGAAGATATACATATTTAAACATTTTCGTTAGCTACATTATATTTCGTATGCAAGTAGAGTATTCACCCTATTTTGTTAGAGGTAATGAAGAACTGGTAATAGAATTTTCCTATAATGATATGAGTAGAGCCCAAGTCTCCAGCGAATTTGACATTATATTTGATGTAGGGAATTTGGCAATTTAAAAGTTCTCAAGAAAGAACTAAGCAAAGGCATGGCCAAATCAATCCTTTCCTCGAGATATGGCCTCAGTCGAAGGTTTTGCAATAAAATGGTATTCGCACAGTCAGTCACGATATTCTTGTAGGCCGACGCAGAGCGCGACTAATTTTTTCCAGTTGCTATAATTGCATATGGAATATCTGAACAAGAATTCTTTCTACAGTGTGATTTCATGCATCACTTTTTGCTGTTAATATGTAACCTCAACAGAATTAATCATGTTTCAGACGAAATATAATGGATTCATCAAATATAGTGTTGTACAAGAAATAGAGTCAATAATTGCATCTTTAAATGAAATTTTTAAAGGACTTTTCATAGAAAAATATATTTTTAGACTGACCTCTCGGACTGTAATCATAAAGTATAAGAGCACAGCAATGAACCCTATGTATGCCTGGGGCGGATCAGACGCCATCAGACGTTATGGCGGGTCTAAAGACGAAAGCCTTACGTAAGTGTGGCCAGAAGAAATCTTGAAGCTTTAGAAAAGCTAATCTTTCACTTTACTGTGGGCCAGGCCATGTGTCTCTTTGCTGCTCATGGCAATATTTCGTGATTCTGCAAGCGCTGAAAGGTGCAGATATGAAGACCAAGTATACTTCAGTCCCCCGTAGAGTTGTTTTTTGTTCCTAAATAGGGTTTTGAAACTACCAGTAAATCAGTAATATAAAATGTATTCACTTTATTTGGCTTAAGGTGATGAAGGACTGGTAGCTGAATTTGGGGACTTTAACTACCAATCCTTTATCACCTTAAACGAAATAGAGTGAATCTAGCTCATATATCCGTAAAGTTAATCTGGCCTCATTTTCGCAAATAAGCCATGTTTTCAGGAAGACTTTAATGAACTTACCCGCTACTATATCATTGTTGTAATGCATTCTTCTAATCTCAGCCTGCTGACGGTGCTGTTTGGAGGATATTTTCCCTAAATTTTAGTCAATATTAGTGTGAAGAGTGTCATATACAGCACCAAACTAAAATTCGTCAGAATCAACTAGGCTTGGTGTGCTACCGACTGCGCTGGCGGCGAAAAGTTTTGGAATATATCCGATTAGAGGTAGGATGCTAAGCAACAACAATGACAGAGGTTCTTCAGTCTCTTTGAAAAAGTACTAACTTATGAAAACAAGATGGAAATAGTCAAATAATGTTATTGGTAGAGTGTTAGTCATAGGAGTTGTCAGTGTTTCTGATATGTTTTACTGGAGAGACATGATTATTTTGCAGTAGAATTCAACTTTGCTGAGTAGTTTAAAAGTAGACTTTCGTCCATTGTGGACTGCATGCTAGTCTATTAATTCCCTCCATCCGGCAGGCACATAGTGTCCTTCAACTCACTTTGGTGAGAACAAATCCGCGCCTAAGGGAACCAACGTGATGGATTATTGGTTTCAACATGGGCTTTACGAAATCCATTCATATTTCATTAACTCATTCACGGGTTGTACTCGTCAAGGTGTGGATGATGCCTACCGGCAGGTGCAATGAACCGAGGAAGCCGCAACGCCATGAGATATATTTTATGTTATGCATCATTATTCATCTACGATGGGATCACAACTAACAGGTTATTTGCAGAGCTTCATCCAACTTCAGCTATCGTCAAAGTTTATTCCAGTTTGTTATTTGATGGGAGAATGTAAAAATCATTTAGCATCACCTCACCTATCCTCCATATTCCTCCATCTCTGTATCAACCGGCTGGTGCACTGGATGTATGGCCTCTCGGTAACCGGGTCGTACAGATCCATGCCCTCTCGGCGGACAAGCTGTCCTGTCACTTCGGCGGCCTCCTCGCGTGGACCGATTTCCAAGGAACTTTCGCGACCCAGCGTCTTCGCCGCTGACTGTCGATGCGGTCGGATGCGCTCCAGGTTGCTCCTCTCGGCCCTCGGATTCGCCAACCATCGGTCTCGCTTTGCAGGCTCTTCTCTGCCTCTCAACGCAACCGCATCTTCTGCTCCTGCTCCGGCTAGACGGCCCAGACCGTCAGCCTCCGGAGTCGTGTTCATGCTGCCTTCTGTCCTCTTCCTCATCTGCTCTGACAGTCGTGTGCTCATCTTCCCGACCGACTCGTAATGATCACGACCAGGCGACTTGCGATCTCTACTCGTGGCCGCCAGCGCTCTCGACTTCTCCTCCGAATCGACTCGCCGATCGCGCTCGGCGACCACTGACCGACCGCTCAGACTGTTGGCCGCCTCCAACTCGCTGAGGCGACCGGTCGGCATCAGACCCAGCCTCTGCACCGGCTCAACCTCGTCTTCAGTTCCACGCTCTCTGTCGCTCACAG